TATGTATTATACGAGCAAGAGAAGAGTAAATAGATAATGATTGAATAGATATGATAGATATAGATAGTATAGAACAGATAGACTGATAAATAGTATAGACGATGGATGAATATAAATTAAAAAATATATTAAACTAATATATAGAAAGATATATTGATATGACTAAGACAGACAGATCAGTTATATATAAATAAAATAATATGGTATCAAAAAGATTAAGTCATAGAATGTCGACACACGAATCCAGATCATCGCGATGTATAAGATGGAAGATACGACTAATGTCTACCCGAGCTCCGACTCAACAATGCCTTAGCCGGGCATGCCATATAGTCGGATGAATCAAGGTGGACCTAGTTGTCGCGACATAAGTAGAATACAGGGGTAGTTCGGCTTTCCGCCCGGAGGATGAGTGTGGACAGCTTATATTATAAATCAGCATGTGAGATTATGGCCGTCGTAAGGAAATCGAATTGAAGACACGGGATACCAGCGTGGTGTCTAAATCCTGGGGGTTCTTGGTCTTCCTTTTACCCCCTTCTTTTTTTTTTCTTTTTTTGACCTGATGGTGTAATCCCCTTTTGGGGGATTGCTCCTAATCTTATCTATTTTATTTTATTTGTCTACTCTATCATATTATAAAATTCTAAACTGTCTGTATATGTTCATTTAACTTGTGTACTTCAGGTCTATCTATATACTATTTATTTCATGACTGTTGTACTTATTGTCTATTAGCTCCACCTGTTCTGTGCAAACTCTTTATATCTTTATTTATTTGTCTATCTATTACATCTATCATCTGTCTATTTATCTACATATCTAACTATTCTATCTATCCCCGCCTTTTTTCCTTCTCTCTGCTCATGTGAATAACGCTATATTCCGTCCCTCCTTCCTATCTCCTAATCCTATCATCCTCCTTTTTTCTCTTCTTCTTTTTGATTGCACTTCTTCTACTTCTTCTTCTTCTTCTCTCCTCCTTCTTCTCTCTCCTCCTCCTCCTCCTCCTCCTTCCCTCCTCCTTCTCTCTCTCTCTCTCTCTCCTTCCTCCCTCTCCTCTCACTTCTCTCTCTCTCTCCTCCCTCCTCCCTCTCCATCTCCCTCTCCCTCTCCCTCTCGTCTCTCTCTCTCTCTCTCTCTCTCTCTCTCTTCTCTCCTCTCTCTCTCTCTCCTCTCTTCTCTCTCTTCCCTCCTCCCCCTTCCCTCTTCTCTCCACCCTCTCCCTCTATCAATTCATCTTCATCTATCTTTGTATCTCTTTAATTACAATAATAAAATTTTTTTCTCTCGCCATTTTCCTCCTCTTTCTCTCTAGTTAAAAAGGGAAGACGAGGGCACATAGCAAATCATAATTCTCATAGGCTGCACGAACCGGACATTCTGGTAGAACGACAAGCTTAAAGTAAATTACGTCGAAACAACTTTTTCTTCTATCTCTTCTTCTTCCTCTGCTTCTTCATTATCATCTTCATTTTTTCTGAAAATAATTGTAAATCTTCAGTTAAGATTACGATGATAATGATAGGTTTCGTTAAAAGAAGGTTTATAATTTTTTTTATATACTTTCGATATAAGATATTTTACGTGTCTTCTGCCTAAATATCTTGTCAGATATTTTCAGATACTTTTGAGAAAAAAATCAAGGTAAGGGTTTTCCGCACTCCATTAAGCAGTTGACATTGATAAATGATTGATGATAAAGGAAAAATTATGATGATGATATGATTTGATAAAAAAACTAATAATAATGATAATTACTCAATAATATAATGATATATCAATAATAATTATGATAAGTAAATGTTAACAGTAAAATGAGAATGCACTGATTCCTAAATTAATACCATAATAGATACGTTATGATGATAAAGGGTAGGGAACTGTATAAATAAATAATAATTAACGCATGAATAGATATGATAATGATACATAATAAAATTCATTATAATGAAATAAATATCATTTTTAGTTTAACGATATATAAAATTGAGACTATTACTAACGTATTCATACTACAAAACTGCTTCCTTTATTATTTATTATCTTAATCGGATTATATTGCATTAAAATAATAATGATAGCATAGGTATATACAGGCAATAATAAATACACATAAATAATAGATTTATTAAATAGATTTAATACTAACTGATGATAACAACAATACTGATAATGATTATTGTAATAATACTGATGAATAACAACAAACTAGATAATGATTATTGTATACAATACTCAATGTAATAAAGAGCAATAATTCTTGAACAGTCAATGATGAAATGAATAATGGGTATTGGTGTATGAGTACAACATGTAATAATAACAATTAATAAATTAGAATATATAGAAGGTATACAAAAAGTAATATAACAATAACAATAATGATTAACAAACGATAGATGGTAGCTTGATGTGGTAAACTTGAACATGTTTTCATAATATAGGAATACGTAAAAAGATATGATCTTTTCCCATTTAATTACAAATATGGTAATGATCAATTGATAATAATTACATCAATAATAATAAGGAAACATTAAAAAATATTATTCTCATTATAATTATGCTAATATGTTATTATTACTCAAGATGTATTGAATACATCCAATAAATAAGCTAAGGGACATGATAAGGGCGATAATGCAGGGATATCGAATCAACAAGAACAATAAAAAAAAATATCGATAATTGTAGGCAGGATTACGCATAGGCATAAGCAGAATAATAATTTAGTAGATATCACAACACTATCTACATCACGATAAGGCAAGCAAATCTCTCGTATATTACGAAGAGTCCCAATTATAAGGACTACTCTATGGAGCTGCTCGTCTACTCTACCATAGTTACATTTATTTACTGATGTGTGAGCTCGCTTTCAAACTCAGTAATTGTTTATTATTGAACAATGGACTCATTTTACTTTGATTTAGTTTAATTTTGTTGTTGTCAATCGATATCATAAGTGTATTGTTATCATTATCATTGTTTAATTATGATTTCTTTTATTACTGGGCTATTATCCATTACTACGGATGAAATTACTCCTCACTCACCTCACTATTAGTATTATTATTCGAAACATGCAGTTTGCTGTATGATGTTTGTTGTTGTGTGGTGTGTTTTCTGGCTGTGATAAATATTATATTGATTATTATCAAATATCATGTATTGCTCATTAATATCATTAACTATATCATTATCATTATTGCCATTATTATTGATATCATCCGAATGATTATCATTATCATCATTATTATGTTATGTTTTCATCACTATCATTAATTAATATTATTACCATTATCCTACTACTACTGTTAGAAGATAGAAGTAATAGTAAAGTTAGTTAGGATTACTGTTTATAATAATTATCAGTATATCATCACTGTTTTAGCATCATATCATACATTATCATCACTATCATCAGCAGCATGCTAATAATTACCATCATCATTACTATATATATATTTTTCTTATATTCATTTAAATATAACTTTTATTTTAATAATATTCATTGTCGTTATCATTAATCATCATAGTCCAATTATCATCACCAATCACTATAATTATTATCATTACGTTATCATCTTCATTAGTTTGATATTTAGTTTAGTCCAACTCTTGTTATCATTATTATTATTAATATCAAAGAAATGGAAAAAACAGAACTCAATATCAAATAAGGCCGATAGACACAGAATCTGATTTAACAAAATAGAACCATCTATTAAGAAAAGAAAAGAGAAAAAAAAACATTCAATAGATATTCACTCGAACTATTGACACGTATCTCTCTCGTGTGAACCGACTAAAAGATATCAGGTATTTTGCTCCGAATCTCGATACGAAAAATCTTTGCTTTACATTTTTTTTTGATTTTGTTTTAGCGGATCCAAATGAGGTAACGGGTTGGATATCATAAATATGTTTTTGCTTTGCATTGAGAAAGGCGCGAGATTATGGTTAGTTTGACGTATTTTGAGATTTCGTAGTTTTATTCGTGTGTGTGAGCTTGTGTGAGGGAAGGAGAGAAAGGGAGAGTGTGCTATTGTGTAAGAAGGAGAGAGAGGGAGAGAGAGAGAGAGAGAGAGGGAGGGAGGGAGAGAGGGGGAAAGAGGGAGAGAGAGAGAGAGAGTGTGTGTGTGTGTGTGTGTGTATCCTATCTGCCCG